TTAGCCCGCCCCATGGAGGGGGAGGAGGAAGGCGGTGACGGGAAAAGGTCTCTGCGCGGTGGAGAGGTGTTTCCTTACCCCTTCCCCGCTCGTCCCCGGTGAGGGAGAATTGTGAGAGCAGTTAAGGACAGCGAACTTGTACCGGCAGGGAATGCCCCTTCCAGTAGCATCGCACCCTCTCAGGCGATTTTTATCCAGGTACACCAGCTCACCCCATCCCTCGGCAAGAGGAGGCACGCACAGGGGGAGCACCCCCCAACAAATCCATAGCCATAAACATGTTATCTCTAGTGCTCATACATTTATTCACGTTTTATCTCCCACTGGGCTGTACAATATGTCACAGACAGAGATGCAGTATAGACCTTGTGGTATTTGCTGCAGAGACATCATTCTGTCACCATGGAATGTAAGCTGGGAGGAGAAAGTGAGTTTTTTTACAAATTGGCTTTGTCAACACATTTATTTTTGTGGCTGCTGTTGGAGATACAAGGGGTCTGAGTGTAAAATAACAGTGGCAATTGACAGGGAAGGGTTTTAACACCTCAAAGATTATGGGGGCTTTTCAGATTTAAATGATTAAAAATTTCTACGGGAAATAATACCACAAATCAGAGCTAGATCATATACTTTAGCTGAAAGCATTAGAACACCAAACAAAGGTTTAATTTCCACAATATCTATTTTAAATGTTACATTTAAATGTTACATTTAAATCTTATTCTCCTGAACACTGTAAATAAAGTTACAAAATATGGTAGTTCAAGATCTGAAAATCTATAGTAAAAATAGGGAGCGTGTGTCCTCATTAACAATGAATAAATATAACATTTAAATAGCTGCAACATACTTATGCCTTAAATAAAAAAAATAGACGTTTATATCTCAATATTTTAGAAATCATTTAGTGCTACTAGAAGCTGCTAAATTACAAAGGTGGAAGCTGACAGACACACAGGATAGAAAATGGCAGAAAAGCATTCATGACACTGCCTTACAGGCCTGGCCTCCACATTCTGTGCAAGGCCTCATAGAAGATAGTTCAGACTATGGTTTTGGGCAATGGCAGCAAAAGAAGCCACCAATTTTAGCGAAGAGTTGGTAGTTGCGAAGATAAAGGCATCAAGATAAACACTACTATATCCCCTAAAAGCTGGGATATGATAATGTCAATCAAAGAAGCAGACCCTGATACCTGCTACCCCAGTGCACAATCATTTAGGCTGCCAGCTTCAAGACAGTGTGCTGTACATGAAATATATACAGGGCAATTCTCTAATACCATGTTTTGTTCTGTTTTTCCCTCGAGAACTCCTTGATATGAGGTTTGTAGATGCAGTACACAGGCCACCACCAGGACAGAGATTTCAATCAGCTTTCTGCTACTCCTTCGGCTTCATCACATGCTCCCGAAACATCGAATACAGCACACCTACAAGACAAATACGAACACAATCAGAAAGCTTTGTTAAACAAGAAATAATGGGTTTCAATCTGAACAGTAAGAGAGTCATATACAGAGAAATTTGATATGAAATTACACTGTATATGAAAATGCTGATCCCAAGCCAATTCTAGTTTGCTTTGCAGTCAAAGTCAGACTTCTCTGTTGTACCTTCTGGGAATACAGTATCAACAAACAGCGTTTCATGGGATAGGCACTGACACACACACACAGAGCTGCAATACTTAAGTGAAACCTGGGATGTACACATCAGTACATTCAGTTCTGATAATATATATACACAAAAATATATAATACCACAGTCTACACAAACTGATCTTCCAGTGTGTTAAATTCAAGAACAGCAACATATTTACAAGGGGAAATATTAATGTCAGACCACTGTTTTATTTTTTTATTTGCCTTTTAATTTCAACATCTGCAGAATGTCACATACTTCCCACATCTAAAAGGAGTCAAAACTTCTACTCTCAAAGTTAGCACAGCTTAATATTAAGTATGTGTAGCTAAAATTCACGCTGCTCTAGGAAGTCTGAGCAAACACCAGTAACGAGCATAAACATCCTGAAATGTAACAGCTGGAACACTTCCACCCCAAGAATGTTTCATGCACACTGTGTAAACCACCGGGAGAACAGATGTGAGATGTCCTCCCGTTCAGTACGCACCACACGTGAGTGCTCCCACGACGAAGCCCTGGGCTGCCACGCGCATGTGAATCAGGTGAAGTGACATTTTCATGTCACCTCTGTGCTTCAATCTGTACAGCCCATAGCCAACCACCACGGCAAAGCCAGCCATCCCTGCAAGAAAGAGGCAAGCATCCTTCTGAGTCGAGATTCATGTCAGGGACATGTGAAGTGACCCATCTAAACAAAATACCCTGGGAATCATGGAGTTACTTAGGTTGGAAAAGACCTTGAAGATCATCACATCCAACTGTCAACCAAGCACTGCCAGGGCCACCCTGAACCATGTACTTAAGTGTGACATTTACATGTATTTTAAATCCCTCTAGGGATGGCTACTCAACCACTTCCCTGGGCAGCCTGTACCAGCACTTGACAACCCTTTTGGTGAAGAAATTTCTCCTAATATCCAAACTAAACATCCTCTGGCACAACTTGAGGCATTCCCACCATCCTAAAATAAGCATGTTTTGGTCAAATTGCTGTTTCTACGTGGATGACAAGTCCTGCCCTGTCTCCTGATTCCACCCAAGTACCACCTCATTCAACACACAAGTAGGCACAGAGAAGAGTGAGGGATTTTGTCATTTTCATACACAAGGAAACTAGCTACAGACAACACCATATAATTCTCAGATTATGTTACATTACAAAATATAAAAATAGCTTTTAAATTAAACTGCATCAAGCAGGAAGAGGTTTTCGTGAGGCCAAAACCAGTCAGCCATGCGATGGTACAAAATAGTTCAAATGGAATCCATATAATATAAAATGATCCAAGATTAAGTAAGACTGTAGCAATAAATGCCATTTTAGGTCTTCATATACATTTCCTATTTCCTGCTTCTTACAGGAAAACAGCAGTTTCAGATGCACCTTTTGCCATTCACACAAAATCTTACATAAAAATGGCAAGGGCCGAATAGGGGTACTCTTATGAAGCAACCTTTTTTTTTTTTTTTTAATATTTTTGAATTTAAAGGCTTCTGTGGTTGCCTTTACATGATCAAATAAATCCTTCCCAAACATGTTTTCATCATTGCTAATGAGCTAGTTGCTGCAATAAATTGTTAAAATTTCTTCTGGTTTTTACAACTATTTGCCTCATTATTTTGGTAACAATAGCAAGAATACGTATCTTTAGACATCTTCAGATCTCTTGTTTCCCTGCTGACTAAACTCCAGCTGTTACTTGGCTGGGGCTTTGAGCAACCTGGTCAAGTGGAAGGTGTCCCTGCCTGTGGCAGGGCATTTGGAACTCAATGAGCTTTAAGGTCCTTTCCAACCCAAACCATTGTATGATAATAACCTAGTTCCAACCCCCCTGCTGTGGGCAGGGACACCTTCCACTAGACCAGGTTGCTCCAAGCCCCATCCAATCTGGCCTTGAACACTGCCAGGGATAGGGCAGCCACAGCTTCTCTGGACAACCTGTGCCAGGGCCTCACCACCCTCACAGGGAAGAACTTCCTACCCTTAAGGTCCTTTCGAACCCAAACTATTCTAGGATTTCCACTAGTGTTAAAATACCAAAGCAGTAGCTCAGAAATCCCTGGATATTTTTCAGAAGGAGTAAGTGCTGCTTGCACCCTCTTTCCAGGACAGAAGCTTTCACCTAAGAACCCTGCTCAGCTGCAGCTCTGACCCCCAGCATGTGGGTGCAAGCCTGACATACTCACTGTCCTGCTGAGGTTGCTATTTTGGGTGTTGTCACACATGGACAGCTTTCACCAGGACAGGACAACTCATGTGTTACTGGTTCTGTGCTGTGGGAGGAGAGGTTCGGCCAGGTCTCTTTCACAAGGTGAGAATTAACTTTGTGTTCTTCAACAGACCAACCACAGCCCTAGCTGTGCCAGCTCCAACCTGTGTATACTGATGGTCTCATGAAATACACAGCACCAATGCACAAGATTTCCCAATTCCATTCACTTAGTTTCCTATTTAGGATGATTATTTACATAGCACAAAGGAGGCTGCCAAGTTTTAAGTGTAGTGTATATTTTACCAGTGAGAGCTTGGACAGCTTGTCTCCCTGAAAAGGAGTATCACTACTTGTGAAGCTGTACACCCTTCACTGGCTCACAATCCACATGGCAGCTTCATTAAATACCAATAAAGAGTTTCATAGCATTCAAACTAGCTCCAGCTTAGGCTGAAGGTTAAATTCTGCCAATCCACTCAGAAGAACCTGAACTCACAGCAGTCGCAGTATGCCCTAGCAAGCTGGAAAGCAAAGTCCTGTGACTACAGGGACCGGTGACAGATATCTGCTGGCAAACGCCTGGAACAGTTCACCCCAAGTGACCTGACTGCTCTCCATTTTATGTGGCTGGAAATCAAAACATGTCTCACATCAGAGGCAGTTCCCAGTGAGAGGAAAGCTCCTGGGATGAACGCAACTGACCCTCTCCCTCCTCTGAGGCTTTCTCAGGGTCTCAGCAGAGAGGCTGAGAACTTTAACAAGCTCCTCAAGCTGGGGCACACAAAACCTACTAAGAAAATGCATTTTAAACTAAGGATAGCAGCAGCAAAGGGTGACACATTTAGCTGGCAGGTTGTATTTTAGACACTTCTGGTTTATATTTTGTTTGCATTACAGTCACTTTGTAGTGATCACATACTTCCCACCAACTGTACTCCAGGACAGCTACAAAGCAGACTCCATTCCACCTAACAGGATCATCTAAATGTCCTTTTTTAAGCTCACCTAATCAATCTTTCAGGGTTTGTTGTTTGGTTGTTTTTTTGTTTTGTTTTCTTTTCCCCCCACTTGCAATTGAAGGTTCTGAGGTTTCTATTTAAGCTAACAAGCCTCATTAATTTCCCTTTTTCTTGCAGAACAAACATCATTCTGGGCAGGAGTACCACTGTCAGCACACGAAAAGCCTACACAACGAAGTAATTTCAAAGTAATTTCCCATTCACGGGGGAAAAGGTAAACAGCATTAACCCTACTGATTGCCCACGTAAAGAAATATATACGTGTAAACACATTTATTCATCTTTATACTTACCAATTGGTACAAATGGCATCTCTTTAAATTTTCTTAACAGCTTCGACGTCTGGCTGGTTTCAGTCTCATACTCGGGGAAAACGGATTCCTGGCCAGATGACATGGTGGCTGTGAAGACAGAGTCTCTTCAGGATTTACAAACACCAAGTTAAGAGAACTTTCAGAAAAAGAAATTCTCTTACATATTCCACAAGTCATGAGTTATGATGTAGCAAGATAAAAGCACAACAGCTAGACTCGAGCTAATGAGCTACATACAGATGAATTCATTCAAGTTCTGGGAAGCAAGATCATTGCATACTAGGAAAGGGAAGGACAGAATAAAAGAAAGAATGCTGAAGCAACAAGTTTCTGCCATGGTTTTTGCACAGTTACAGATCCCAGCTGCCTCTCATGGGCAGCGAGAAGCCACTGAAAACTCTGGTCACTCCCTGCATTTCCTTTCAGGACTTCCATCCTTCATCACGCTGCTTTGCTTCCACAGACAATTCCCTAGCAGCAGCTCTGACTTCAGGAAAGTTTATTTTACCTCTTTCACTCCCTGCCAAGAGCAACACTCGAAGCAAATGGCGGAAAGCTTGAGCTGCTGCAGAAGGTCAGCCCTACCTGGCAGCTTGTTGGTCACTGCTACACCTCTACCACCTCACCCAACACTTCAATGAGGCTTCAAACTCCTGCTGGAGAATGCAAAAACGTAAAATGGCAGCTGCGGAAGAGCCAAAGCAAGTCTTGGAGCCTTTGATTGGCACAGAGTCATGTAGGGGCACATCAGGAGGATGATCAGAGTCTCCACTGCAGCACAGGTGATTTCTTACATGCCCCCTAGTTAAATATAGAACAGCAATGGCCATGAGGAGGGCTCTACTCACAGAACCATCATGACCAAACCAGAGAGATTCCATCCACCAAAACCTGCCAATTTGTTGTCGTGTTCCCATCCCAGATAACACTGAGACCTGTTCCTTCTTCAGTGCTTGGCACAAGCATCATTCTTCAATCTTTCTGCCAGCACAGTTAGTTCGGCAACATCACAAAGGTCTGTACTAGAAAAGTCTCTACCTGTATTGTTCCCATTTTGCCATAAACATGGTCAGCAGCCACATACAGCTCGGGGGCACCTGAATGTACTCCAAGCTCTTGAAATAAGTCATCAGCAATTTAACTTAAGCACGGGCTTAAATTAACATGCAAAAGAAACAATTCAAATGTGGCTGTGTTCCCCGCTTATGCAGCATTTTGTGAGCAGTCATTTCAGATAGACTACCTGGGTCTTAAACTAAACATGCATGCCTCTGCAGGCCAAAGGATTTGGCCTTTCTGTGTCTCCTACCGCCACCCTTATTTGCAAAATGGAAGTTATATTTTAGCCTGACTCATTCGGAGAAGGAAACTTGAGAGCGCACACACACATGCACCCCCCACCCCTCCGTCACCCAGGAGAGGCGGAGACAGTCGGAGGTGAGATTCATGCAAGGGAAGGATACCGCAAAGTGAAGCAATCTGTCCACCGCAGGAAGTTTCTGTGACCTTCACCTCAGGCGAGGTCGGGTGGCCGCGGGTCACACCACTGCCGTGACTTGGCC